CTTGACGTGAACTAATTTCAAAACGCAGAGTTTCAAAACGTCAAAACATTTGGTTAATGATTAACATTTAACCGAATTTAGCCGTTGATTGACAACTAAATAAAAATACTAACCAATCCGTTTTTCCCGTTCACCAGCGGACGGGTAATTCAAAAACCCCTAGTTTTGCGGCAGACGGTATTTCCTTTGCTTCCCTAATTTTCGCTGCCCGTAGAAATACCGCCTGCCATGCAGGCTAACTCTCACCAATCCTCATTCTCGTTTGGTATAGAGCTTGTAAATTGGAAAAAACAAGTTTTTCTAGTCCAATACAAGTGGTCCAATATATTTGCCTGTAAAAACCTATATCTGAAACTGGGCACAGGGCCCTACAGGGAAACTGCCACACAAATGTTAAATCTGCATGAAACCGGGATTTATTAGACAACGTAAACATTAGCATGTGTCATAGCTGACTGTTTTGATTTAGGGTTAAAGTGCGGATAGCGAAATCGGTAAATAGGTATCCTCCAGCTACACTAGTCTGCGTGAAGTTCGGCATGACATGGGTCAGGCTACAACTACGCAGGCTACCGATAAATCGAACTAGTCCGATACATTTATGAGATTTCCATTTTCCAGTCGTGCCATATATTTGCCTCAACTGCTCAAGTTTTGCGCTTTATTAATAAAACCTAAAGTATCTTGTTATTTTTGTTGAATTAAATGCTTCACACCTTCCTCGCCAAACATGTTGTACACCTGTCACACAAGGGCAGACAGCAAGGCACCGGTACATTTTCGGTACCCATTACCCTGCAGGCTTTACATCAGCACTCTCGCATAAAGCATTTTCGGGTAATATTGTACACTAACATGATTAAAAGGTCTTTGTGAATGGAAAGCTAATTGTGTTAAGTTCATATGCAGCTATTTCAAAGCGGTAATGTCGAATACGAGCGCGAAACCCAGCAAGCCTTTCGCGCAGTCGTATTCGACTTTTCCGCTTCGCTCAGGGACAACCTTAATTAATTGAAATAGTTCTATATTTACTGTATAATAGTAGCATGTACTATGTATTTGAACTTGTACGTTTTCACAGTAAAATATTTTCAATAGTAGAGTAAATCTTTATTTAATAAAATTTTCAATAGTAAGTACTTAGCTTTTCTCCATGCAACCTGTCATTTTACTAATAATATTAATATTTTGCAAGTTGACTCCCTTTAGTACATGCAATGCAAGGAAACTACCTACTGAATTTCTGAAATTATTTCCTTTTTGGCGTACCATATAAAATCTCTTCATTTTTGGATCATTTTACGCATATAAAATACATTGCTAGACATGCATACTCAAATAAGTCTGTCAAAATGTTGCATATACACAGGGTGTATAAAAAAACTGAACATATTTGAAATTGCTTTCAATTTCGCAAAACAGCTATTAGTATCCAATTTTTGATATATATTTTGGGAAATTGACAGCCCCAAAGGGCATTGGGCTGTCAATTTCCCGTTTGTAGTGCAAAATGACTGAAAATTGCAAACTTCGCAAGGCTATATATTATCCGCATTTTACAACATTTCGCAACGAAACTTTGGATAATTACTAATTTTGTGATGCTCTTTCAAGCTGTGATGAAATTTTTGTCATGATCAAAATTTAGTCTATTACGCAAATGGTCAATTAATGCCTTTACCTAATTTGCATATTGCTGACGTAAGCAAATTAAGCAAACGCATAATTAAGGCTGATTTTTTAGGCCAAAATGTAAGTTTGCGAAAATAGTCAAAGGGCTTAATTAAAGCAAATTGTCTGAAATTTTGTACAGAGTAATTAAAAACCCAACAAAGTCTCCATCCATTAACTCAAAATACGATTAAAGCTTTTAAATTTCTTGGGCAAACCATTTTTAGTTTGTTGGGAAAAACACCCCCCCC